CAGAGAGAGAGAGAGAGAGAGAGAGAGAGAGAGAGAGAGAGAGAGAGAGAGCTACGTTGATCGTTTGATTTGTTTAAAAGGAAATTAAAGTTGTCGTAAATCTACGGATGCAGCATTGAAACGACTTTTCTGTCGAGAGATATGTTGCCGGTGGCTCCTTTAGGATAGGGATTCTTTGGAATTCGAATCGGAGATTTAATAGGTCCCCGAAGAGGGTAGAAAGGAGCCGGTAACTTTTCTGAAGGATCCTTTCTTCGATTGATCGGACGTAAACGTAAGCAGGGAGGATTCCGGACAGTCCATTGTGGATCATCGTTCCTTTAGGGAAAAAAGATTTCGACCTCGGGACCTGCCACATACCTGTCCCATGATTAATGTTACGCCTCCTCGGAAACCTTTTTGGTGCTCGACAGCCTCCGGAAAATCCGGGTAGACCAAAAACATCGCCTTTAACCGTAACACCAGCGAATTCCTCGAAACCTTCACCACCGAGCATATTTCTTACAATACCAAAATAATTTCATCCCGTTTATACCCGATCCTTTCTCCTCTATAATTGTTTTCATTCGAAATTCCGAAATCTCCGATTCTCTTTCCTTTTCTTTTCACCTGACCCGACCACAATGCAGGGAAACAATCAAACGAATGGCGATAAATTGCTCTGCTCGTTAAACGAAGCTTCGATACTCGCGACTCGTTAGCAATCGAAGATTGTTTCCATTCAATCTTTAATTCGATTCTAACGTCGTTATCAACGTAATTTCTCATAGTTGATCAGCCACGCCAACGTGTTCACGCGTGAACCGCACAGACCGCATGTCTTTGTAACAAGATGAGTCACATCGGTCTATCGCGTCAACATTCGACGTAATCGTACCCTGGTCGGTTGAAAAAAACCAACAATAATAAATGCGAAGGTTCAGGGGGCCTTTCTAGAATCGATCTGTCTTTGCATCGTCGTTCATAGTAAAATCGGGAAGAAAGTAAATACGTATAATAATATCGCGGTCGCAAAAATATGCCGGCACGAGTTTGCTGGAAGTATCCCCTTCTCCTGCTGCTCCTTATTGTTCGTTTTTATTCAAAAAATTCGTTAACGGGTGTTGTTCGACGTGCTGGAAACCAGAACGATCAAGAATGTCGTGTCCGGGGAGAAAAAGATTCCGTTTTGTCGCGGTTACGTCAACGCGTCGGGCCGAAGGAAGAAAGAAAGGGAGATCCTGCAGCCTCGAAGAATGCCGTGTAATGATGCTGCACATCCGGGAGGACGGCTGAAATGACTTCGATCCCCTCCGCCCGACGACTGGTCCCTTCTTTTCCACCTCTTCTTGCCGCCCCGTTCTCTCCGTCTGATTTCGCCTTTCCTCGATCCACCACCTCCTCCTCCTCCATTCTCCTTCTCCTTCTCCTTCTCCTTCTCCTTCTCCTTCACCTTCTCCTCCTCTGGCAGCGTACCCTCCTTTCTTCGTGTTACTTGTTTTGATTCCGAACCTTTATCGCGGCCTCTCTTTTCATTTTTTGTTTCCGGCGGTCGCCCCACCTTTTTGCTTCCGTCGGATTAACCGTTTCTCTCATTTCTCTGCGAGGGATCCTTCTCCTCTTCTGTTCTGTTCTTCTTGTTCGCGCGGACCGTTCCCATTTCCACCGGTTCCTCTGGGCTTTCATGTCGACGGCACCTTGCGCGATCCCAGCCGACTCTTCGGTTTTCCCAGTACGACAGTGCGTCGATGATAAACTCGACGGAACTTTGATGGTAGAATTGCAAACGGCAACGATTCTTTTCGCGTCGCGGTAAGGCTTCTCGTTTCTCCTCCCTCGCCGGCAGTAGACGCTCTGGAACTAGAACCTTTTCACGCGTCGACCACCCGATCTGTGCTCATCGAATTACAGTCAAACTCGAATTTTCCTAACGAAACTGATATGTCGCCGAGATAATGAATTTCTCAACTTTTCAACCGACCGGTCGGTTAACACGAAAGCTTCTCAAAGTAACGTCGAAGGCCAAAGGTCGAATCGGAAGGAATTTCTTCTCTTAAGAGCTTGAATAACTTGAAAATAAAGGAACAATTATTCCGTGTCCGATGTACTTCTATCCGTCAGAAATGCACGAAATCCGTGATCTACTGGTAAGTATTATACATGTATATAGGTATATATGTACCTACGTCCGCAGCCTCTCTCTCCCTCTAACAGAAACGGGATTGGACGGAGAGGGACGCGGTGGCGTAATCGGTCGCGCGTGTGCATGGAAGAAAGAGAAAGAGAAAGAGAAAGAGAAAGAGCGGGTGGAGGAACCTAGCGGATCCGAAGGTGGCCTCTCTTGATCCTTGCACGTATCGCCGCGATGCACAGCCAGCCCAGAACATCCTCCGCGACGTAAACGCGTTCTCTCGATTAATAATCGAGGCTGGCTAATTCCTTTCGGAAGAATTCTCGGGAAAAGGTTTGTCAACGTTTAGGGTACCGATGATGACACTTTGCGAATCATGGCTAGCTCGCGTAAACGATCGTCTCGGAGAGGATAGAAACTACGGTACAATGAGCAATCGTTCCGACTTTTTAGCTTCGTTTGCAAAATCTGTAATCACTGAAATCGATATTTCGCATAGAATAGCTTCGAAATGTCAATAGAATTCCTGCAATGTTTCTACAAACATTCGCGTCATTATTAATAATCTGCTAACTTTGAACGGGATGTTACGAATTCTATAACGAGAATCCGTACGGACCGTATATTCTAATAATTAATAACTATGATTGCATACGCGTTTTCATTGCGCGAATAATTTTATCAGTCGCCGTGCATAAAATATGCACACGGCGGAGCGGACGATTACAATCGATCGTTATTCCCTGGTAATGCGCTCGATAGCTAGCGGCACACGGCCGAATTCGATGAAAGCCATTTCATTTCGGTTGCTGAATTGTGCAAAATTAATCATGATTCC